GCAGGAAGGGCCAGCAGTGGAAAGGTGAGGGGTCCCAAAGACTTGTCTGGCCCTGGGCGGGAGCCAGCTGCCAGTGATGTAAGTAGGAGATGCCTAGGTTATGGTCTTATTTTCAGTCAGCAGGGATTTCATTTGCCAGTTAGACTACAGATAGAACAAAGCATTTATTTATTTATTTACTTACTTATTAAGATTTTATTTATTTGACAGAGATCACAAGTGGGCAGAGAGGCAGGCAGAGAGAGAGGAGGAAGCAGGCTCCCTGCAGAGCAGAGACCCCGATGTGGGCTCAGTCCCAGGACCCTGAGATTATGACCTGGACCAAAGGCAGAGGCTTTAACCCACTGAGCCACCCAGGTGCCCCTTTTTTTAATTTTAATTTTAATTTTTTTTGAGCAAAGCATTTATTTTGATACGTTGCAGGAGGCACTCAATGGATGTAGGATTAACTGAATTTTTATTTAACTTAGAATCATGAAATCATTTAATTATAAAATGTATTACATGTACTTGTTAAATGCAAGTTAAATTTGCCTTATTTATTTTTTAAAAGTGTGTGTTTCACCTTGTAAGAAAGTAGAGATAAAGTGGCTTCATTCTTCTGTATCATTGGTAGTTAATTCTTTTTACCCCCTAGGTGTGGGAGGGGCAGAGAGAGAAAGAGAGAATCCTAAGCAGTTTCAATGCTTAGCACGGAGATCACAGGGCTCCATCTCACAACCGGGAGGTCATGACTTGAGCCTGAAATCAAGAGTCCATGCTTAACTGACTGAGCCACCCAGGTGTCCCTTGTTGGTAGTTCTTATTTCTTAACTGAATAAGTAAATATGTTTTAGATAATCTTCTTGAGAGACTAAGAAGTCATATTAGATTTATGCTTCCTTGTTATTTGGTTGGCAGAAATACTGTTTTTTTTCTGCTGACTTCAGCGTCAAGTTTGGTCTTTTCTGTTTGCCTTCTGGTTAAGGTTGTGTGACTGCTGCTTCTTTTTTTGGTTGTTGCTATAGACTTGGTTTAGATAATGCCAGAAATTCTTATCGGTGTCTGCGTGATATTTTCTGACACCACTTCTAATATTCTAACACCAAATGTATGGTTTTTCCAACATTAGCCAGTTCTCTGACACCAAGTGGGTGTCCAACAATTAAATTCTGGTGGTAACTCCCAGAATTATATCAGGTTAAGGGCTCAGCCCCACAAGGCTGCCCCCACTTCAGATGTCATCTATAAATGTGGTCCCAGGTTACCCACACTTTTACCTGGCTGACTACATATTTGGGGGTTCCCATGACTCCCTTTTAGGTTTGGTAATTCACTAGAATGACACACAGAAAACACTACTCATGCTTACCAGTTTATTACAACTTAAAATTTTACCAGTTATAAACTTACCATTTTATTACAACATACTTAAAGTTTATTACAACTCGGAAATAGCCACATTGATGAGAGGCATAGGTATGGGAGTCGGGGTGGAGGTACAGCGCTTTCCCCTCCTAGCATGTGTCACGAACTGAGAAGCTCTCAGCATCTTCTTCAGGAGTTTTTTATTGAAGTCAATCCTCAGGACATTCTGTTTGATGACTGTTACTATTGGAGTTGAGAGGACTTTGTGTTTAAAAATACTGAATCCAGAAACAGGCTATGGGTAGCTGCTGAGATAGAACAGAACTAGCTATCTTGGCCGAATAAGGGAAATATTTGCGTAAACTCTTCGTCTTCCAAGAGAAAAACTGTGGTGTGTTAGGCTGGAAGGGGGACTAGGAGGTTAAATAACCATAGATGGAGCAGCTAGAAACCAGAAACTTAGCCAGGCCTCCTCCTAGATCATTGTTGTTTAACCCTCTCCACGGGGGTTTAAGATGTAGCCTCAAGACCGTGAAAAAATGGTTTCCCTTTTCTGGGAAGTGAAGAGTTTTGTGGTGATTCTGTCATTTTGTGAAAAATAGGGAAAAGGCAGGAAGTGATAGGTATCTGTTCACCATAAAATAACTTCTTTCCCAGGGCACCTGGGTTGCTCAGTTGGTTAAGCTTTCAACTCTTTTTTTTTTTTCTTTAAAGATTTTGTTTATTTATTTAAGAGAGAGAGAGTGCACACGAATCAGGGGAGGAGCAGAGGGAGGAGAAGCGGACTCCCCAACAGAGCAGGAGCCAGATGTGGGACTCTCACCCAGGACCCGGGGATTGTGACCTGAACTGAAGGCAGATGCCTAACCAGCTGAGCCAAGAAAGCGCCCAAAGCTTCCGACTCTTGATTTCAGCTCAGGTCACAATCTCATGGTCTTGGGATCAAGCCCCACATCAGTCTCCATGCTCAGTGGGGAGTCTGCTTGAGATTCTCCCTCTCCCTCTCACCACTGGCATGCTCGCGCGCGCTCTCTCTCTCAAATAAATAAATAAAGCTTTTAAAAAAAATCTTCTCTCCCTATGAGACAGCAACATCCTACATGGTGATTTTCCTCAAATCATTTTAAAAAAATTGATTTTCAAAATGTAAAATCTAGAGTTCATTAACAAAAACTTGAGAAAAGCATGTACAAAGAAGAAGAAAAATGAATTATAGTTATACCCAAACATTAATAGTTAGGTGTCAGTACCATAAAAAGGAATGGTGAAATATGGAAAATATATCTGGATTTTTTTTCATTTAATATTATCACATAGGCAGTGTTTTGCTGTTGTTGATAAAGATCACACAGATAGTAGAGTACAGTGGTTTAGAGTAGAGGCTCTGGCACCAAAGTGCCTGGATTCAGTTCACAGCCCACCACTGATGGGCTGTATGACCTTGAAGTCACTGAACTGCTCCCTGGCTCGATTTTATCATCTGTAAAATGGGGTTGATAATGGCATCTAACTCAGAGATTGAAGGCTTATGTAATAGACTTCATACATGTTACTTGTCAAAATAAAAGATTTTATTGTAACATTAATTTATGTATTTAGGTGAGATTTTATAAAACAGAAAAGCAGAAGAACTCAAAATCACCCATTATCATGTATAACGGTACTTAACCTTTCCCCCGATGTTCTGACATTCAGACTGCTATTCCTGCCCCTTCATACCACGTTAAATTGAATAAGTCATGAATTAGTGTTGGTTAAAACAGTCTGGGACCGGGGCGCCTGGGTGGCTCAGTGGGTTAAGCCTCTGCCTTCGGCTCAGGTCATGGTCTCAGGGTCCTGGGATCAAGCCCGGCATCGGGCTCTCTGCTCAGCAGGAAGCCTGCTTCCCTTCCTCTCTCTCTCTCTGCCTGCTTCTCTGCCTACTTGTGATCTCTGTCTGTCAAATAAATAAATAAAATCTTAAAAAAAAAAAAAAAAAAAAGTCTGGGACCTGAGCCTTCCCTGGCCAGAGTGGAGCCTGTGGGTTTTCTGTAACCAGGATGAAATCAGAGCCAGTCCACAAACCAGTTAACTGAAGGTTCACCATATTAAGAATGAGTATGTGAGAAGTATCTTTGTAAAGGAATTTTTCCTTCAGCGTTAGAGGTTATTTCCTTAGCTTGGGATCCCAGAAATGGAAATACAGCGTCACCAGATGAGAAATGTTGTTTTCTAGAAGGGTTGCACTGATTTTAAACTTGTAGCTACAATTTATGAGCTTGCCCCACTTACTGTAGGCGCCCAAATCCTCCACGCCCCTTTCCCCACCTCCCCTTGGACCTCAGAGCAGAGATACTGAGGAAGTTGCTGGGTTTGCCAAAACTCTGCAATAGTTAATTCTAATCAAAATCATCAATAGTTAATTCTAATCAAAATCAGCACTCACCTCCTCCTCCTTCCCACTAGTTCATTCCTCCCTCCTCCAGGGCCTTTCTTACTTCCTTTCACATCCTTTTCCCATCTTGGCTTTGTGTAATCCCCTCGTGTAGCCTTCCTCTTCTTTAGTTGGAGGGAAAAATCATGTAATTGAAGTGTTCCCATGATGAAGTTCATGACCTTAGCTACTAGAATTGTTATCCCCCAGCTGGGTACCCTCATTTTAGTAAAGGGTTCCTGGAGCATTGTTGAACCCAAAGGACGGAACTTGATGGTGAAATTTGGGGCAGTGGAATACCCAGAGCGGGTGATATTTTGAGTCTGGGCCCTTCAAGTTACGCAAATAGAGGGTGTGCAAAGTGTGAGACCCGTTCTGTGGATGGGGTGAAGCCAGGCCCAGTTCCCGAGAGGCCCTTACTTCCTCTCTGGCAAAGCACTAACTGCTCAGCACAGAAACAGGTGAAGTGGGTCTCTGGGAGGAACCGTGAAGGGAAGATTGTTTATTGAATTGGACATAACAAAAGACTGGTCAGCAGCACGTGCAGATTCTGTACATAAAACATAACTTTACGATACCAGGCAGGGCTCCTTTTATGGCTTTTTTATCTTCTGGTTGAAGTTACCAAGGGTGTGGAGGGCTTTTGCTGACGTGTGGTCAGTGATGTGATTACATTGCATGTCTGCTGGGAAGCAGAGCCAGGAGGCTTCTGAGAGCAGCCAATGCCCCAGTTACCTTGGTCTGAACTCTGAGTTGCAGAAGGTGGGTGTCTTAGGAATTCCCCAAGGTCTTAGGTGTGCTTTATGGCAAGGAATTGTACAGGTATCTCTCTGTGGACTCCTACATCTTTGAGGGACTAAAAAGTCAAAGAAACAGAATATGCCTGAGGAAGAATGGGGGGCAGGCAGATAAACCACAGGACTCCCTAGAGTTATGGATGGACAAGGATAAGTATAGGCAAATTATTAGAACTTAAAAAGTGAGGCCTACCTAGTTCAGACAAAGTCCGAGGTGTCCTGAAAGGAGGATGAGAGAAATGGAAAGCTTAGCCCAATGTTAGCTCTCAGTGATGTTCCCAGGAGACTTTTGACTACAGCCAGATGGGAAAATGGTCTTGAGAGCAGATGGCAGGAACCAACTAGAGCTGGTCAGATGCCAGCCTCCCCTTCCTCCCTGAAAGAAAATGCTTTGGTCCCATAGTGGTCCCTCCTTACTCCCAGCCGTATCTGTTCCTTTCTAGCCTGATCCAGCCTGAAGATGACCCCACTGGCCGCGTTGGCGTCTGGCCCTCGAGCCCAGCTCTTTGCCTGCTCCCTCAGGCTGGGCACTCAGCAGACTAGCCTCCTTCAGCTGCACACAAGGTCCAGCCTTGCCGCCAAGAACCACTATGAAGTGCTGGTGCTGGGTGGGGGCAGCGGTGGGATCAGTATGGCCGCCCGCATGAAGAGGAGAGTGGGTGCGGAGAATGTCGCCATTGTTGAGCCCAGTGAGGTAAGTCTCCCCTTTTTGAATCCCTGTGCCTGCGTGTAGGCGTGCGTGTGTGTTAGAGATTAGGGTGTGGATGGCTGTCAGGCCCTGTTGCTGTCCTGTGTCCACGTTAGTGCTTCTCCTTCTGCGCACAAAGGATTGGGAGAAGGTGGGGAGAGGGAGAATGGGAGGGGACAGATCTCTAGGCTTTCATGTTCTCTGTATTAGTTTCTTAGGGCTGCCATAACAAATTATCACAAACTGTGTGGTGTAAAACAATAGATTTATTCTTTTCTTTTTTTTTTAAGATTTTATTTATTTATTTGAGAGAGACCCAGCGAGAGAGGGAACACAAGCAGGGGAAGTGGGAGAGGGAGAAGCAGGCATCCCGCCAAGCAGGGAGCCCGATGTGGGACTCGCTCCCAGGACCCTGGGATCATGGCCTGAGCCAAAGGCAGATGCCTAACAACTGAACCACCTAGGTGTCTCAGTAGTTATTCTTTCTTTCAGTTCTGGAGGCTAGAAGTCCAGTGCGAAGGTATTAGCAAGGTCATGCTCCCTCTGAAGTCTGTGAAGAGGAGAGGGAATCTGTCCCATACTTTTCTCCTAGCTTTGGTGGTTGTGGACAGTCTTTGGTGTTCCTTGGCTTATAGCTGGCATCACTCCAATCTCTGCCTCTCTCTTCACATGGCCTTCTTTCTGTGTGTCTCTAGTGTCTTCAGTGACCTTCTTATAAGGACACCAGTCCTTGGATTTAGGGCCAACTCTAATGCAGCATGACCTCATCTTAACTTGATTGCATCGGTGAAAACCCTATTTCCAAATAAGATCATATTCACAGGTACTGGTGTGAGGACTTTAGCATAACTTTTGGGGAGAGACAGTTCAACCCAAAAAGGTCTCCCAGTTCCAAGCTAGTATCCAGAGGGAGATCAGTGGCCATCACACTTTCCTTTCTCTGTTCTAGTATGGAGAACAGGTGATGAGTTGAGTGTCAGGGAGGCCTCTGGGAAAGATGTTAGTGGGATTGAGAAATTGAAGAACCAGGGATTATAAACAGATTATAAAGCAGAAAAAGGTAGAGGTGCCAGGGAGGAAGCTGGGAAGTGTGTGTAAGGCTCTATTTCATGCAAAACATTTTAAGATGATCCAGTAGCTTCATAATAAATATTCTAGATTTTTTTGTGGTTTGACTAATGTTTCATGAGGAGCTGGGTGTACACGAGTTGGCAGCAGTGTCCTTGGGAGGGAAGCAAAATGCATCCAGTGCCTGTTTGATGGGGAGGGTGGGTCAAGAAAAGCTTATTCCTTTTCAAGAAGTCTGCCGAGCCTCCGTGAGGTGTGCCAGGGCGTGCCTGTAGTCTCAGATGGGTATGCTGCGATCTGAGAGGGTGTGTTTTCAACCATTTCCTATTTAAAGTGACTAATTCAGGATCAGCATTTTATTTTTTAATTTTAATTTTATTTTATTTAAAAAAAAACTTTTTTTTTTTTTTTTTAATTTGACAGAGATCACAAGTAGGCTGAGAGGCAGGCAGAGAGAGAGGAGGAAGCAGGCTCCTCGCTGAGTAGAGAGCCCGATGCGGGCCAATCCCAGGACCCTGGGATCATGACCTGAGCAGAAAGCAGAGGCTTAACCCACTGATCCACCCAGGCACGCCTATTTTTTTAATTTTTAATTTTTTAAAATTAAATTTTTAAAAAGATTTTATTTATTTGTCAGAGAGAGGGAAATAGCATGAGCAGCAGGGAAGGATAGAGGGAGAGGGAGAAGCAGGCTCCCCTCTGAGCAAGGAGCCAGACGTGGGGCTTGATCCCAGGACCCTGGGATCATGACCTGAGCGAAAGGCAGCTGCTTAACCCACTGAGCCACCCAGGCGCCCCAGTGGTTTTTTTTTGTTTGTTTTTGTTTTTGTTTTTGTTTTAAGATTTTTTATTTGACAGACAGAAATCACAAGTAGGCAGAGAGAAAGGAGGAAGCAGGCTCCCCGCTGAGCAGAGAGCATGAAGCGGGGCTGGATCCCAGGACCCGGGGATCATGACCTGAGCCGAAGGCAGAGGCTTTAATCCACTGAGCCACCCAGGCGCCCCGCGCCCCAGTGTTTTAAATTACACTGGACTGAGAGCTCCATCAGGGGCCTGTGGTGTGTTGTAGCTCACCCATGGGCACATGTCCCACTGGGTCTAGTCTTGGTAACGACAGCTCTCTGAGGCACTGGACACAATTCAGGAGGCCGGAGTCATGGCTGTCCTCCCCCGTGAGGAGGTGCAGGATGGAAGTTTTTCAGGGGTGCTATGAGGGGCTCGGGTCTTTGATACTTTCTCTCCTGTGTCTGGTTTAGCGATTGGTAGAGCCAGTGCTTGTTTGTAGTCTAAAAAAGAATCTGAGGTTGTGTTTTTATTCCTTTTTCTGTTCAAGATGGATTCGAAATCAGTGAGTTCTCACCACTGGAGACCTCTGCCTTCCTTCTCTTTGAGCACCTCCATTACTGACTGTATGGAGATTGCAAAGGCATTTTTCGTATCCTCTTTAGCATCTCTGTGGCTGGCAATTCTGTCCAGCCAGTTTGAGGCATTTTGCCGTGTTGAGAGTTCCTGATCCCCCAGGCCACTGCGTGCACCGAGATTCTCAGACACAGTTAGATCAATCTGCCCTTGGCCCATGAGCCTAGAACTGTCAAAACTAGCTTAGTTCAAGTGAGGACCATCTGAAACAACTAACTCTAGAAAAATAGTGGAAATTTGTCATTGGGGGTAGGATCTGGTGCCTACTATCTTTGGGTATAAAACCCCTGAGATGGGCACCCTAGGTGGCTCAGGGGGTTAAACATCTTCCTTCAGCTCAGGTCATGATCTCAGGGTCCTGGGATTGAGCCCCGCATCGGGCTCTCTGCTCAGCAGGGAGCCTGCTTCCCCGCCCCCTGCTCTGCCTGCTGCTCTGCCTACTTGTGATCTCTCTCTCTTTCTCTGTCAAATAAATAAATAAAATCTTAAAAAAAAAATAAAACCCCTGAGAAAGGAGAGGAGATACTAGGGCCAATAGGGAGTGTCTACAGTCCTCCATGGGCTTGGGAAGCACCACTGGAAGTTAAAGAAGTTTTGAGACTCTTCAAAAGTGGTTGTAAACTTCCCAGACTTACCAGAGTCTCCAGATGGTTCTAAGGAACCACATTTAGGCTGCCAGGCTTAATTTTTCTTTATGTCTGTGCACATAAGTGTATCCATAATTGTGCATGTGTGTGTATGTGTGTGCGTATAGTATAACATGTATATGTTAAGCATCAAATCAACTTTGAGCGACAAATAATAAAATGGTCACAAAAGATAGTTGATGGCTTTTTTGGGATGATCTTGGCAGAATTCTTGTGTTAGGTTAAACTCCCTTTAGAGTTTAACATAATGGGAGATGCCAGTAGGTGGCTCGGGGGAGACTAACCTTCTAAGGCTTTTCTATGGGATGCTTCAAGGGGTAGGAAGGATAACTGAGAGTCTAGCTCATGTACTTTTCACTCTGACCCTTTTCGTCTCAAATCGAAACTGATCTCCAAATACTTTCTCAGAGGCATTTCTACCAGCCAATCTGGACACTGGTGGGCGCTGGAGCCAAGCAGCTATCCGCATCGGGCCGTCCCACCGCAAGTGTGATACCCTCTGGCGTAGAATGGATCAAAGCTCGAGTGGTTGAGCTGAACCCAGACAAGAACTGTGTCCACACAGACAGTGGCAAGGAGGTAAGCATCGGGGTCTTTTGGCTTTTGTTAGTCAGGGCTCGTGTTCATGGATAGCCATAGCAAACGAGACTGCCACATGGAGAGCAACATACATATGCATGTGTGTGCATGGGTGTGTGTGTGTGTGTTGATAGTACACGAGGTGGGAAGGGATGTGGTGGGTGAAGAGTGGGCTAGATGGAAGGAGCGAGTGACAAATAAATGAACAACTAAGACATGGATTTGTGGAACTGTTGCTCAGTTGCTTGGTACAGTATCTTGCATCTGAGTGTTTATTCAACAGATACTATCACCATATGTTCAAATAGCAGCACCACCCTCCTTTTACCTTTGAAACAGCTGCTTCTCGCTGTCAGTTGACCTCAGGAGGAAGACATTTGGAAAATATCCTTTCCTCTTATGCTAGGGGTGCTATGCCGGAGTCGTAAGGGACCATGGCAGTCCCCATGGTGTGAGGGCTAAGGAAGATTTCTGCTCCTGGAGTTTGAGACTCGGAAGTGTCAGTACCACTTAGAAGTCTGCTCCTAAAACACAGAGATCAAAGCCGCTGTAGGGACGAGAGCAGGATGGTGAGGTGACAGACTCGGAAGTCCTCTGCAGGGTTCTGTCCTCTGGTCTGCCCCTGAGCCAAGCACCCTGGTAGGCATTGTCACAGAACTGTAGAATCTGAGAGTTGTTGGAGATCTGAAAGGTTTCCAAGTCCAATCCCTTCCTCTAAACGGGGACTCATTGCCTCTAAACGGGGACTCATTGGCTGCAGGGAGTTATAACTGTTTCTGGGGTCATGAATCTTTCGGAGCACCTGATAAAAAGCCTTATCTAGAAAATGCATATACATACCAGTTTAAAAAAAAAAAGATTTAGAGAGAGAAAGAGAGAGAGAGCATGCACGCATATGCGTACACACACTGGGAGAGCAGCGGAGGAAGAGGGACAGAGTCCTGAGCAGAATCCCTACTGAGTGTGGAGTCTACTTGGGGCTCCATCTCAGGATCCTGAGACGATTAAATTTTGCATTAAATTTCATTGAGTTTAGAGAGTCTTTTTTTTTTTTTTAATATTTTATTTATTTGAGAGAGAAAGAGAGCGCGAGCGCACAGTCAGGGGGTTTCCTTATTCCCTCCAGCCCATCTGTCTGTCTGTCTTTCTCTCTCTCTCTCTGTCTTTTTCTAGATTTTATGTATTGGGACACCTGGGTGGCTCAGTCAGTTAAGCATCTGCCTTTGGCTCAGGTCATGATCCCAGGGTCCTGGGATTGAGCCCCGCATCAGGCTCCCTGCTCAGCTGGAACCTACCTCTCCTTCATCTCCCTGCTTGTGCTCTCTTCTCACTGTATCTCTCTTAAATAAAATCTTAAAGATGTTATTTATTTATTTATTTATTTATTTGAAACAGAAAGGGAGAGCACACAACAAACAGGGGGAACATCAGAGAGAGAAAGAAGCTCCCAGCTGAGTAGGGAACCTGATGCAGGGCTCTGTCCCAGGACCCTGAGTTCATGACCTGAGCCAAAGGCAGAGGCTTAACCAGTTGAGCCACCCTGGCGTCCCTCCTTCTTTCTTTTCTAAAGTAAGCTCTAGGGGTGCCTGGATGCTTCCTAGTCTTGATCTCCGCTCAGGTCATGATCTTAGGGTTGTGAGATCAGGCCCCAGGTTGGACTCTGAGCTGAATGTGGAGCCTGCTTGAGATTCTCTCTCCCTCTGCTGGCCCCCCCACAATGCATGCTCCCTCTCTCTCAAAAAGAAAAAAAAAATTTTTTTAAGTAAGCTCTATGCCCAGTGTGGGTCAAACTCATGACTTAGAGATTAAGAGTTGCATGCTCTGGCTCTGATAGAGCCAGCCCAGTGCCCCTATTAAGTGTCTTCTATAAACAATGCAGTTTTGGACATACATGAGTGAACAAGAACAAACATCCCTACTTTCCTGGTTTTAATTTTAAGCAGGGGAGGGCATACAATAACCAGTAGACATAATAAGTAAATGATATAGTGTGTTAGAAGGTAATGAGTATTAATGAAAAGAAGTAGAGCACAGTAATTGGAAGTGGGCCATTTGTGGGGAGGGAATGGATTTAAAATGGGTTGGTATTGACACGTCCAGGACGTGTCAGTCTCCATTTTTTAACAGAGGGGTCACATGAAAGTTCTGCCTCAGCAGAGCCAGAACCCACCCTTTCTGTAGCCTCTTTCATATTCTCTTGGGCCCCCAGGGCGTTTTGGGGCTTAATGCCTTTCTTGTTCTTTGCTTTGTCCTGTATGTAATGTAGCCAAGAGTATCATTCAGTTTCTGTGGAGGAATCCTTCAACTGTTTGAAGGTGGCTCTTCTTGTCTGGGTAACTCTAGTCTTCAGGTAGGTTTGTGCCCTGACCCCACTTTGCTCAGCACTTTCTCCTGTCCTCCAGCAGCGTCTCCGCGGCCCTCGCCATTCTCTCTGTCCTGCTGTGGACATCATCTGTGGACATCAGTGCCCCATGAAAGAGGTTGCCCAGAAGAGGAGGCAGGTTTACAGAGCAACCCAGAACAGAGTGACACTATTCTCTCCCACAACTGGATATAGCCTAAATTAGCATTTGCCTTTTTACCAACCATTAGCACAGTGCTGATTCATGCTGGGCTTGAGGTCTCTTCAGACTTCTGTTTTTTTCTTCACATGACCCAGTGTCAGGTCACACTTTCTCTATCAATATCTAATGTATGGATATATGTAATGGATTAGAATATATATAATAGATAAGGATATATATAATAGATTGAGATATATATATATAAAATTTATATATATATGTAAAACTTACAAATGATGTCTCCCTGTTGATGGACTTATTTTCTCCAGAATCTCCAGGAGATCAGACAGTATTAAACAGAAGGCTGAGGTTCGGGGCTCATTTCCTTTGTCAGTCCACTGGTCCTGGGTCCAGGATACCTGTCTCTGACCACGTATATCACCTCTTTGGTATAGCAGTGCTTGCCTCCTTGATTAGACCCCTTCACATTCCACATAGAGCTTAGAGCCCTCTGTGGTTGGGTTCATGCGCATCTCAAGAATCATAAACTTGTATCATCTCTTGAGAAAGAGAGGCACTGGTAGGTGTTCTCACTTCTGAACTTGCTTAGACATCTAGGGCTCAGACTGTTAGGAAAGTTGCAATGTCTTGTTTTAGGGCTAGAGAAGAAGTTGGTATAAACTGGCAGTACTTTCTTCCAAGGTTTTATTAAGCAAAAGTCTCCTATAGCCAGATCTCAGAAATCTGCATATAACAACTCATGGGGGATGTCATCCTGTTGGTTTTATTGATCTTCCCAACTTGCCTGGATCTTGTGGATTTACAATTCTGTCATCCAGTTAGTATTTTTCTTTTTCCTAGCCATTATCCATGATGGCTTCATTTAAGTTCAAGGTTTTAATTTGATAACATGTCCCTAGAGAGCTTTTTCTAGCTTGCAAAAATTAATCAACATTGTTTAGTAAATATGTTTTGCTAACATTTTACCAAAATTATTCCATTATTAGTTTATACATTAGTATTTCTTCAAGATTGAGTTGAAGTCTTTGCTGAAATTCAGACGCAGTATGTCTCTGACTCTTCCCTGATGCAGGGGTCTGTTTGTCTGGAATGTGTCCTGTAGGCTGTGTGGACTGGCCCTTGTCCTTCTCCAGACCTAACCTGGTTCTGGTTCCTTCTCTCTCTCTTAGTTTCTGCTCCAGCACATTTCTCTCTCATTTTCTCAAAAGCCTCGGGTTCCTTCTTCCCCAGGCCATTTGCACATGCTGAGTTTAATCTCTTTTCCTAACTAACTCCTACTCATCTCTACCTTAGATATACCCCTTTAGGAGAGCTTTTCCTGACCTACTTGATTAGGTCAGATTCCCCCTTGACCTGCTATCACAGCATTCTGTGATGTAGTAGTTATTTCTATGATTATCTGATAATCCCTATCTCACCCACTAGACTGTGTTCTTGGAGGGGTGGGAACAGTATCTTTCTGGTTCAATGTTGTATGTCCAGGACCTAGCACAGTATGTCACATAGGAGATGCTCAGTAAATATTTGTGAGCAAATTGTGTCTCAGTTTCTTTACCTGTATAAAATGGGACTAATAAGGAGTGCCTGGGTGGCTCAGTTGCTTAAGCATCTGACTCTTGATTTTGGCTCAGATCATGATCTCAGGGTCGTGAGATTGAGCCCTGCACTGGGCTCTGCACTGAGGGCAGAGCCTACTTGTCCCTCTCCCTCTGCTCCTCCTCCCTCCCTCTCTCTCTCCTCTCTTTCTCTCTCTAAAATAAATAAATAAAATCTAAAAAAAAAAAAAAGGTTATAATACCACCTACTTCATTGAGTTGTTTTGAAGACTAAACGAATTAAAACATGCGAAAGACTCAGAACAGTCTCCTGCAGAGTGAATGCTCAAGAGATGTTACTCTTATTATTTTTTAAAGAACACAGGAGAAAAAAAAGAAAAAGGAAATACTTACTAGGTATCCGCTGTGTGCTGGCCTAGTTCTTGACCCCTGACTGACTGAAAGCAGTTTGCAGCCTGTGAACCTATTTGGTGCTCTTTTTCCAAATCACCAGGAGACATTTATTTGGTAGATGAGTCTGGAATTTCACCATGGAGAAAATCCTGTTTATGAGATTGTTAGTATCAGAGTTTACCGCCCCCACTTCCTGTAGAAGATGAGAATAGGTGCCCGTATTGAGCCTGCTGGCAATGTCTGCACTGTTGCCTATAATTGCTCAAAAGTCTTGTCTACAAGTTTTTGTAGTTCTTTAGAATTTAAATCATCTGGCCTGGAAACTTGAATTTGCTCAGAAGGCTTAAGGCTTTCTTTTTGTTCTTTGTTCTCTTAGGGTTTATTCTCCCTTAATGATTTTTTTTCCATAATATTAAGCTTGTCTATTACCAGTCCTTAAAAATAATCAATATTATACTGTAATTAAACAATCAGGGCGCATACAAACCAAAGGTTTTTCTTGTTGACCGTGTTCATGTTTTGCCTGTAGAACATCACCCCTAGATCCCATGTCCCATCTGACCTCACTGACCTTGAAGATTCAGCATAGCTCAGTCAGGTAGTTAATGGGCCTGGTACCTGGTACACTGCTAAGGAACAAGGAATTTTCAGGGTACAGCGCTCTATGGATAGGCACATCATACAGAGGAAGATGTGTATGTTTTTGTGTGCTTTGATAAATTACATATTTCACAAACAACTGAAATCATCTGTCCATCCAAAGTGACTGAGTTCCTCACTTTAATTTCAGGAATATTGAATAAGACATAACCTTTATCATCTGGGGTATTCAGTGTAGTGAGGGAAGATATTATTCCTGTATAATGCAGCCAGTTCTATAAAGCATCATATACACTAAGGAAGCTCCCAGAAGGGGCCAGCGGGGAGGGGAATTGAATTGTTGGGAGGCCTCACTGTGGAGATGACCTTGGAGCTGAGTCTCCTGGATCCCAGGGCAGGACCTCTGCAGAAACTTGCTGCCCTTGGCTCCTCAGCCTGAGCTGAGCACTCTCAGGTCTTAGAGTCCTCTCTCTTCAACTGTGACCTACCCGTCTTGCTGCTCTGCTTCTCCTTTGAGTATAAGAATTCATTACAACCCATTTCGCCTTTGCTGGGCTCCTGACTTGCATCACGATCCTTCTCCACCTCCAGTTTTCTAGGCAAGTCCTGTTTTTTTATATCCCTCTTGCTTACACTTTCTGGCCTCAGCTTTCTTCCTCTTGATCTTAAACTCACATCTCCCATCATGATACTTATGGATACTTTTGCCTTTGGCATGGGTGATCACAATATATTAATTAATTAATTAAAAGGTTTTATTTATTTATTTAAAAGATTTTATTTATTTATTTGACAGAGAGAGAGAGAGCGCACGTGCACAAGCATGGTGGGGGTGGCAGGAAGTGGGAGAGGGAGAAGCAGACTCTCCGCTGAGCGGGGAGCTCAACGTGGGACTCGATCCCAGGACCCCAGGATCATGACCTGAGCTGAAGGCAGGCACTTAACCGACTGAGCCACCCAGATGCCTCGCAATACCCATATTTAAAGAGGGGATTTTAAATTACATCCTTTTCCATGACCCTCAAAATAGCAGTTTCTCACGTACAATATCGATTCGATCCATATGGCAGGTCAGATTTGCTGGGGATTCACAGTTGACTCCACACATTTTAAAACTGATTGTCTTTTAAGATTAGGAAGTGCTTCTCTCACCCGTCAGCGTGAGGAGGTGTTAACAGAAGCACCACACAAACAGTCTGCTTCTTTGTATCCCTCTTCACTGTGTAAAAACACAGGAGTCTCAAGCCCTCTGGGGGCCAGGCAGGCTATTCAATGCTTGTGAAGCACTGAGGTGTGAGAAAGAAGCACTGAGGTGTGAGAAACAGACTGGCAGACATGATGGCAGATAGGAGCATGACTCCCTCCCTGTGCCCTGCCCATCACCCACAGCCTCAAGGCATCCACAGTAGAAAATGGAGGCATGGGGCTGGGGCTAAGTTACCCCTTGGGCTGCCACTTCTGGGATCCTGGTCTAAAATACTATTGTTTTGTGTTGCAGATTTCCTACAAATACCTTATTATTGCTCTCGGGATTCAGCTGGACTATGAGAAGGTACGATTTTAAACTACTTCTGTGTAGCACTGGCCTCCTTATGCCAAGTTCAAATGCTGCATTTAGTTGCTTTGTATTCATTTTGCCAGGAAAGGGTGCTAAGGGATCCTCTTTTAGCTTTTCTTTTCACAGCGGTCTTTTTATGGTTTTTTAAAAAATCTTTAAGATTTTGTCAACAGTGTCAATGATGATGATATGCTTTAGCTTTAAGCTTTAATCCAAGTTTAGCATGTCCATACCCTAATGGCAATTCTTGTAAAACAGCAGGCTCTTCCAGACTCACAAGAAAACCACCTTGCTGTGTAGAACTGAGTTGCCTCTTTCTCCCTTCAGTTCCACGGGGTGTCTGCACCATGATGTCCTGCTCCCTGGCTTGGTCAGCCAAAGGGGCAGTCAGATCGCCTCTCTTTCTCTGACTGTCCCTGTCTCCTCTGCTCCAGAGTTCCTGGGGAAGCAACTTGACTTGAATGAGTGGTCATAAAGTGCCCTTTGTGACCAGTCTTCTAAAACGAACTTGGTTACCACTTTATGGCACCTTTTTCCTTAACAACAACCTCTTCAAACTAGAGACAAGTAATGAAGGAGAAAAGAGATCAGCTGTTTGTTTATCCCTTGGATAGTGCATTTTGCTTTAGGAACCAGGAGGTATGGAGGACACAAGAGGGGACCCTGAGGCAGTGGTCCAGAGTCTCAGCATCTGGTTCTGTGTGGGTCTCTCAACCTCGCTCTTCTTCAGTTCCCTCATCTGTGTCTAGGATCCAGGATGATTTCCCCATCTGCCTCAGAGGCCTGCAGCAAACAATTATCCACTGTTAGCATGGGCTAAGACTTCAGAAACATTAAAATATGAGGAGATTCTATAAAAATAATAGTGAGAATTATTGCTATTGAAACTGCTGCTATTACTACTACTTAAACTGTAGCAGGAGATAATGGTCAATAATCGGAGGAATAGCCGCTTTTCACACTGAGCCTCGTGGAGGAGATCCTAGCACTGTTTCCTTGACAGCTGAGGGGTGCATGTTGCATGGTTGCATGGTTGCCCTACAGTCTGGAGAACAGCCTGGGAGGTCCTGAAGGACCAGCCCATCCTCATCACTGGTTTTTGATGGTTCTCTGTGCTCTTGCTGGAAGTACTGGTGCTCGATACTCAGCCATCTTCACAGCACTCTATGAACCTTCTAACAGCCAAGTCAAGTGTCCAGTTAATCTCACTGGCAGGAACACAGACACTTTGTGGGGCACTTACCGCGTAGGTGCTATTTTTTCTAAGCACTTTCTGTGTGTGGTCTCCTATCCTTCTGCCAACAGCCCTCTGGAGCAGTTACTTTTACACCCATTTTACAGATGATGAACATAAACTCTGTGTACATTAGAACCAACCAGAGAGCCAGACAGAATTCTGGGCTTGCCCCTGAGTTTCTGAATTACTAGGTCTGGGTGGGGACTGATCATTAGCATTTCTAGCAAGTTCCCAGGAACTGCCCTTGAGATCCACTGGCTTAGGGATAATTGGTATTTACCCAGGGTCATAACACTTGTAAGTGGAAAGGCTGGGACTCAAGCCAGATGGGTGTGGTTCCCAAGTCCATGTTTTTAATGGCCAGCCTTTACTGCCTTTACCAAGAGTTTGATTTGGTACAACCTGATAAAGGGTAGTTTAAGTTTATGATTATTGACAATATGGCCCTTGGTTCTGCCTGTCGTTCTTCCCAGTAAGGCAACTGATTTCTCCAAAAAGGAAGCGTGGCTGACTTCTTGTCCTCACCTTGATGGTGGGAAGAGATACGTTCAAACCACACTCCCAAGGCCAGCGAGGCAAAGGCCTTCCTGTGGGCTGAGTCCATTCTGAGGTACGGCTCCTGACTCCAGGCACCACAGTCCTGATCTTAGCAGGTCCCTCGCCCTCCTGCCTACTTCAGTGTGTGAATCCTGGGAGCTCATGATTGCACTGAAATATTGGTTATTGAAATGGCAGAGAACGAAGGCGCTAAAAAAGAGTTTTGCACTTAGAAAATTTATACCTGTGAATTTGCAGTTTTGTTAAGAAATACTTGTTTTGTGTGCTTTCTTGCAGATCAAAGGCTTACCTGAAGGTTTTGACCATCCCAAAATAGGGTCCAATTATTCAGTGAAGACGGTGGAGAAGACGTGGAAAGCTCTGCAGGACTTCAAGGAGGGCAATGCCATCTTTACCTTCCCAAATACCCCTGTAAAATGTGCTGGAGCACCTCAGAAGATCATGTATTTGTCAGAAGCCTATTTCCGGAAGGTACGCTTCCTCCCCAGGGATAGAGACAGGGAGGGCAGACGGTGCTGATCCAGTAATGCCAGAATTCCATTTTATCCATGTCAAAATATCTTTTTTGTTTATAAATTTTTATTATGTATCCACCAAATTATATAATTGGGAGTTTATAAAATAGAAAAAAGGGAGTCACTATAATCCAATTACTTTAATATAGCTGCTGTTATCAATTTGACAAGTCCTTCTATTTTTTCCCTATACATTCTTTTTTTAAGAGAGAGCACACACAAGCATGGAGGGGGGAGGGGCAGATGGAGAGGGAGAGAGAGAGAATCTTACATGCCCAGAGTTGAGCCCAATGAAGGGCTTGATCTCAGGACCCTGCAAGAGTTGGAGCCTTAAGTGACTGAGCTACCCAGGTGCCCCAATTTTTTTTTAACATGCTTTTTTTTTTTTTTTTTTTTAAGATTTTATTTACTTGACAGAGAGAGAGACCGCAAGTAGGCAGAGAGGCAGGCAGAGAGAGAGGAAGGGAAGCAGGCTCCCTGCTGAGCAGAGAGCCCGATGCGGGGCTCGATCCCAGGACCCTGGGATCATGACCTGAGCCGAAGGCAGAGGCCTTAACCCACTGAGCCACCCAGGCGCCCCTTTTTAACATGCTTTTAATCATGCCATATAAATTTTGATGTGCTACTTGTTATTAAATAATCTTTGTAACATAATTTTAATGTGTATATAGACATCTACTGGGGAGATACATTAGAGATTGTTTAAATTTTTCTGTGTAGCTGAACAATTGGTTGTTCACATAACAATATCCTCGGGGCGCCTGGGTGGCTCAGTCGGTTAAGTGGCTGCCTTTCGGCTCAGGTCATGATCCCAGGACCCTGGGATCGAGCCCTGCATCTGGCTCCCTGCTTAGTGGAGAGCCTGCTTCTCCCTCTCCCTCTGCCTGCTGCTCTGCCTACTTGTGCTCTCTCTCTGTCTCTCTTTCAAATAAATAAATAAATAAATCTTAAAAAAAGAAAGAAAGAAAGAGTATCCTCCATTGCTCCCACTCAGGTTCAAGGTTATGAATATTTTTTGGCTCTTGATAAACATCTTAGAAAACACAGTAGGCAAAATGCCAATTCTAAAGGCAAAAAAAAAAAAAAAAATGTTGACCTAGAACTTCAGACTTTGGTGGAAAGAGTTCTTTGGGTGGGGACACTCCACATGCCTCCAGCATGTCCGAGCCTGTGTTGGCAGCTTGAGTCCATCTGGCCCAAAGCAGCGGGAAGCTGCTCTTGGCCTCCTACAGAGGTGTGGGTTGTCACATTTGGTTTATTGCAGTGTGGTTTGACCTGAGGCAATGGCAGGATTCAGAGCAGCCTGTGGTTCTGTAAAGGGGCAGGTGAGAGAAGGGGAGAGGTATCTGGGACAGAAGAGCCGCCTGAATGCAGTGCTTGGAACCTACCCTGGGAAGCCTTCACCTGAGTTATGCAAACCTGTGCCAACCACCCCAGGGAATTAAAGAAGAGTTCGAGTCATTGTTTCTGTTTCTAAGAAATGTCATTCTGGGTCATGAGAATTACCGGATGGCACAGGCTTTTGAGTTTTCTACCCACCTAACTTCTTTCCAGTAGTGTGAACCAGGGGTGCCCGGGTGGCTTAGTCCATTAGGCATCTGACTCTTGATTTTGGCTCAGGTCATGATTGCGGGGTCATGATCTTAGGGTCATGAGATCAAGCCCAGTGCTGAGCTTCACATCAGACTCCGTGTTTGGCGTGGAGTCTGGTTGAGATTCTCTCTCTCTCCCTCTTCCCCTGCGCCTCCCCAACCTCTTTCTTTCTCTCAAGATGAATAGACAGACAAATAGTGTGCTCCAGATGAACAAATCCCAAAAGGAACTGAACAAAGAAAAAGAGAGACTAGCTGCTTCTTCCCACCTGGACTTCTCTTTGCAAACTCTTTTCTATCAAGTCTTAGATGGCCAAGAGGAAGTTTCTCTTTCAGGCCCTGTGAGATCTTAGGTATTTGGGAAAATACCAGCCTCTGAAACATATGAACAATACAAGCATGTATGAGCCAATGGGATGGGAACTTTGGTCACTGCTGTTCCCGCAGCACCTAGAACAATACCAGCCACCTCTAGGACCTCATTAAATACTGACTGAGTGGATGAACAAATGAGTATATCAATAAACAACTCAGCTTATCTTTCCCTGGACTTGACTTCATCTCTGGCCTTCACATGGACGGCACCCTTGACTCAAATATGCACTTAGTTCCTGTGTCACTGACAGAAAATAAGGAGATAGTGAATTGGTTCACACCTTGCCCCACCAGTGTATAGTGATGGAGAAAGCTGGTGAGCTCTCTTCTGAGGGTTTTAATTCTTTTAATTCTTGTCTAGGTGTTTTTTTTGTTTGTTTGTTTTGTTTTGTTTTTAAGATTTTTTACTTATTTATTTGACAGACAGAGATCACAGGTAGGCAGAGAGGGAGGCAGAGATAGGCAGAGAGGGAAGGGGAAGCAGGCTCCCCGCTGAGCAGAGAACCCATTGTGGGGCTCGATTCCAGGACCCTGGGATCATGACCTGAGCTAAAGGCAGAGGCTTTAACCAACTGAGCCACCCAGGCGCCCCTCTTGTCTAGGCTTAAAAAAAGAAAAAAAAAAAAGTGGCCGGAGTAATGCTTTGATGTTGGTTGTTTCTATTCTTTTCATTTTTTCCAGACAGGGAAGCGATCCAAGGCCAATATCATTTTCAACACTTCTCTTGGAACCATTTTTGGGGTTAAGAAGTACGCAGCTGCCCTGCAGGAGATCATCCAGGAGAGGAACCTCACCGTTAACTACAAGCAAAACCTCATCGAAGTCCGAGCTGATAGACAGGAGGCTGTTTTTGAGAATCTGGACAAACCTGGAGAGACCCAAGTGATCTCAGTGAGTGGGGGAGTGAAACTTGTCAGCTCCACATACCTCTGGATGCTGGCGACACTGTGCCTCCCACCTCCCAGTTGCCATCCTTGTGCCGGGGGGGAGGCTGGTTATAATGAGCGCACCAGTGCAGCGGGAGGAGAGAAGGTGGATCAGAATGGATGGGAAGGAGAAAGTAAGAGGCGGTGTCCCTGGGAGCTGAGGAGCGTTTACCTACTGGTATCAGGTGCCTTTTGATCCTGTTTTGTATCTCCATTCTTCTTCCCCTGAGTCACTTGAAGTAGCCAAAAATATTTGATGACTTCAGGTCTTGCCTAGAGTTCAGGAAGGGCTTCCTTCAATGGAGGATTTGGTGATTGTCTTGTTTTACGGAGAAACAGCCCTGCCTGTGGGTTGTTCACAACGGATGGGGGTGTCTTTAAACATCTTTCACCTGTGCACAAGAGGAGGCACTTCAGAATCCTTGCAGGATCTTGCGGAGCCATGCGCTGATGTGGAAAGATGGAGCCTCTGTGTATGGGCTTGGATTCCGTGTGCGTGTTCCTTCTTCCATGTCGTGGAAATAGTCCTTCTGCAGAGGCGTATGAGGCTGAAGAGCAAGATGTAAAGGCATCTGGAGAAGCATGCGTGGGAGAATCACTTGTTACAGCACGCTGGCAAGAGCCATTAGCAATGAGAAAACGGCTCACAGTGACATTTTATTCATTCCGCAGTTTTAGAGGAATGAAGGGTTCCATTAAAAAAAGGAATTTTGAAGTGAGCCAACGATGAATCTTCTAAACATCAAAACTTCACATTTTAAGCTTTTTAGTGCAGGCTTGTTCTAAAATATGTTGCACACATCTTTCTTAAGTGGTGTGTATTGACTCTCATTTAAGATGTTACTGATGACTCAAGGTCATAATTTTAAACTTTTATTTGCAAATAATCTTAAACTTAGAGAAGCTGCAAACATAAAACCAGGACAAAGAAAACTGTGTGCTGCGTAGCCTTTACCTAGATTCGTTTATTATTGGATTTTGCCCTATTGGCTTTATCATTTGACCTCTCTCTCTCCTAATATACTATAATACAATAATATAATATAATATAATATAATATAATATAATATAATATAATATA